TCGAAAAACACCGAAGGATTAAATCTAATAAAGGGGTCATTTGCTCCTGCACCACAGCCTAGATCTGTTGGGATCCTCCCTCAACCCAAAACGAACCATTGTTAGCACCCTTTTAGCATTTTCTCAAAGAGTAACTAAAGTAAATGTAGTTCAATAAGGAACATTTTTAGTAGATAAAATATATTTGTACGTTTTTATAAAAGACATTGCTTCCTGTTTATTGATGATAGATAAATGGTAATATTTAGTGTCAAAATCTCTCACTTTTCTCGATTCTTCATTTGCTTCACTTTTTCTGTGTAACAATGAAGAGGAAGTGTTGCCGATACGGTGCAGTCAAAGCAAATCGAACTGCAGAAAATATAAACAAACAGGTAAATACATATATCTTTAATATAAACAAACAGGTAAATACATATATCTTTAATATAAACAAACAGGTAAATACATATATCTTTAATATAAACAAACAGGTAAATACATATATCTTTAATATAAACAAACAGGTAAATACATATATCTTTAATATAAACAAACAGGTAAATACATATATCTTTAATATAAACAAACAGGTAAATACATATATCTTTAATATAAACAAACAGGTAAATACATATATCTTTAATATAAAAAAACAGGTAAATACATATATCTTTAATGTTTTTTCTGGATTCTATGGCGGGATAAATATTAAATAAAAATTGAAATAAACGTAGCAGGTGTAAATTTATTTAGAAAATTCTTTCTATCTATAAATCATTTTCATTAAAAGTTTCTTACATGTAATTGTATTGGTTCTATGGCGATATGCATATTATAAATATATAAACATAGCTGGCCTAAATGTATTTAGATATTCCTTTCCGTCTTTGAACGTCAAAAGTTTACAAGAATTAGGAATAACTTCGAGATAAATAAAAAGCACGTAGCATACAAGAAGCGGATAAGAATTGCCACAGACTGCACTCATTACAAGACGAACAGGAAAAGAAGGGATGGGCCTCTATACATGTTCAATGACCGTGAGCGAAGTCCCTACTCATCAAGCAATAATAGACTACACACATCACAAGAGAATTAGGACAGAACTTCTACGGAGGCCAGATATAAGAAAAGGAAAGGTTCCGAGAACTCCTTCCTACACAAGAAAAAAGGGATGGGCCTCTATACCTATTCAATGACCGTGAGCAAAGTCCCTACTCATCAAGCGATAATAGACTGCAAACGTGACAAGAGAATCAGGACAGAACTACTTCGGAGCCCAGATATATGGAAATGAAAGGAAAGGTTCCGAGAACTCCTTCCTAAACAGGAAAAAGGGATGGGCCTCTCTACCTGTTCAATGATCGAAAGCAAAGTCCCTACTCATCAAACAATAGTAACATATCGAGAGAGAAATTTAGAAAAGTAAAGATGAAATTGTATCAACTACAAATCAATTTTATTTTTCAGGTTCCGCATCTCTTCAAAAGATAGTTCTCCATTACTTCCGATTTTTTTTCATCTTAAAATTATGTGAGATATGATAAGGAAAGCGTGTCTGGAGAATAAAACACTCGGAGGGCAGGTAATGAAAGTAGTAGGGAACATCCAGTACCCTAATTAAGGATCACTTTTTCGAAAGGATGGCAGAAAAATTAATGGCAAATACTTCAAATGTTATAGCGATCAAAACAAAAGCAAAGATAAGGCATTGTGGAGAACCATGATTGTCCATATCCAGAAAGGTTACGGCATATGAAAACAAACAAAATAATTTTTTGTCTCAGAGTTGACTTTAATTTGGCTGCCTATGAGGATCGAACTATTCAACTTCGACTCACTATTCAACCAAACACCAAGACGGCAACCTAAATGCCTCATTGGATTACATTCTACAACAGATCGATACCACGAATAGGATTCACTTCAATGTCCAGAGAGACAAATCCTTTCATTAAACAGTCAGTTGTAATTATGTATGATGAGGGCGAGGGAGTAGATCAATTAATAATTCATGGTTCCACGGCCACTTACAAGCACACGTTCTGGTGAGTTAGACATATAAGTAACGAAAATCTTGTTAATCTGTATGGATAATCCCAAGAAGAATGGAATCCGGAGAGCACAATGTTAAGACAGAGCGAATAATTTTAAATTAAAGTTTGATCCTTACCCCCGTCCTCAATATTAAGTATTGTAATAAAATAATAAATAAAAATACCTTCTACTTCTGTCAGCATCTGTCTGTATATACATATACATCCATATTTTTCTCTTTTTTTCTTTCTCTCATATCATTTTCGTTGAGATGACCGATTGAATAGGTCAATGTCTGATCCTTACCCCCTCCTCCTCAATATTAAGTATTGTAATAAGAATAAAAATAGAAACAAATTTTAAAACTATCTCTTCCTTCTCTAAACTCAACCATGTCTCTCACACTATTCCTCACCACCCTCTATGTCACCTTATATAAGCTTAATACTGCCCTTCAAAAGTGTAAATTTTAAATACATTTTTCATTTCACCATTGAAAGTGAAGTCTGAAGATCCAGAGAAAAATAAAATCTCTGGTGAAATGAACTATAACTAATTGAACCTTAAAGTGGTCTGTTTTTTCTTCAAATTATATATATATATATATATATATATATATATATATATATATATAGTCCCCTCCATAAGTTTTGGAGTGGCAAGGCCAATTCCTTTGTTTTTATTGTTCATTCTGGACATTTGGGTTTAAAATAAAAAATGAATATAAGACAAGACTTTAGAATTTCCGCTTTTATTTCCTGGTATTTACATTTACATTACAGCTTACGGTGTCACCTTTTGTATCCTGTGAGCCCATCTTTAGGTGAGTAAAAGTAAAGGGACAGATAGTCTTTAAGTAAATAACATTTATTATTTTGTTACATAACACTTCCTTGACATAACTGCATTTAAGACTACGACCCATTGATATCACCAATCTGTTGAATTTTTTTGTGTGACGCTTTTCCAGATATTTAACGAAACCTCTTTCATTTCTTGTTTGCTTCGGGTTTTTGTCCTTCAGTCTCCTCTTCAGAACATGAAATACATAACTCTATTGAACTAAGATCCGGTGATTGACTTCACCAGTCTATAACTGACCACTTTTTCCCCTGATGAAGTCCTTTGTTGTGGTGGAAGTAGGTTTTGAGTCAAATGTCCTGCTGTATGATAACGTTCCTCTCGATTAATTTGGATCCATTTCTCTGTAAATTGACAGATAAATATCTCTGCAGACTTCTGAATTTATTCTGCTGCTACCATAATGGATTGCACCACAATAAATATAAATGAGCCTGTTCCAGAAGCAGCCATACAAGCGGAAGCCAAGACACTGTTTCCACCATGCTTCACATATGAGCTTCTATGCTTTAAATCTAAGCGGATCCTTTTTACCTTCGCCATTTTAGTCACATCATTCCATAAAAATATTTTCCAGAATATTTGCCCCTCATTTGTGTACTTGAAAATTAAACACCTCCCAGCCACGCGTTCCAATAAATTTGCTCACTTGAATTGGGTGGGTTCAAGGAAAACGTGGTATGCCCTAAGTTTTTGAACACATCTAAATGTTTCCGTAATGTAATATATCTGAAGATGGCCCATTTCTGTAAATTCTAATCTGGCCTTCCAATTCTTACTATTGATGAGTGGTTTGTATCTTGTATGATCTCTATATTTCTGCCCTCGAAATGTTCTTCGAACAGTAGATTGTGAAACCTTCACCCCTGCACTATGAAGGTTGTTGGTGATGTCACGGACTGTTGTTTAGGTTTTGTCCTCACAGATCTCACAATACTTATGTCATCAACTGCTGTTGTTTTTCTAAGTCGAACTGCTCTGTGTCTGTTGCATAGTACACCCGTAGTCTCTTTGTTTTTAGAACATTTCAAATAATGCCAAATATTTGTCCAATGACTCTGATCGATTTCCATTCTTTCCACAGCTTCAAAACGGCTTGTTTTCCTCCCATAGACAGCTCTCTTGTTTTCATGTTGATCTATCCATTTTAACAAGTAATGCATCATTTACAGGTGAAAATCAAAGTTAAAACCAAGAGTAGTCCTTCAGGATTATTTAATGTTTAAACAATCAGTCTAAAAGACAACACATGGGTAGCAAGAAACGCCATCCAGCCACGCGTTCCAATAAATTTGCTTACTTGAAATGAGTGGGTTCAAGCAAAAGAAGGTATGCTCTAAGTTGTTGAACACATTTAAATGTTTCCTTAATGTAATATATCTGAATCTGTCCCAGTCAGCATTGGCGTACTGAAAGATTATCCACTGAAATGGAACATCAGGCGATGCTTTAGATTTAGAAATCAAATTTAACCTCGATCACTGAATGATCAGAAGTGCCCAAGGGAGGTTCTATTTTGCAGGGTAGGATATGTGAAAGCCATCTAAGTGTGTCTGTGTGTAATTTTCCGTCGTTTGATGAACACGATTGGGTTTGTGAACGATGTGGGTTGCCTCGAATCTGGACGAGTAATATTGTACACAATTCGAACGTCATGTCGTGGTTATTTAATCCAAACAGTGTAGTTTGATGATTTTATAGGTAGGGAATGTTTTCAAATTACAAATCCATCGATTTATAACGGAAAAGAACAATTTTATTTAGTTTTTATCAGCCTTTTTCAAAACTACATTTATTTCCAATAATCCTGTCTTCAACAGGCAGGCTACAACTTAACTTTTATTGAAGGACTCTCCACGACACCACGATGACACTGAGCCATCCAATATTTTGAATGTGATTGATATTCGTCATGGTAGGTATTTGGCATGTGATGCCAGATTTGTTTCGCTAAGTCATAAAAAATATATGAAAAGCAATGAAAAGGTTAAAATTATGAGAAAATTATAAATATATATATATTTTAATAATATATATATATATATATATATATATATATATATATATATATATATATATATATATATACAAAAATACCACCGGACATTGAAAAACCTATACTAGTACAATGCAATGCCCGAGAGAGAGAGAAAAAACAATGATCTGCTCGAGTGGGCTGAATTAAAGTACACCATCACATCTCTCGCTATATATAATGGATACAGAATCCTTAAAAATTCATTCAGTCAGGTTATTATTTATTTCAAAAGAAAACAACTGACACGAATACTACGATTGGAAACTGTGTGGATGATCAAACCTCAAATCGAAACAACTGACACGAAACCTGACATCAGAAAATTTATGCATGATAAAATTTCGAATCTAAAAACTGAGACGAAGGCCGCAGTCGAAGAGGGACAGGGTGATAAAAACTCAAATCCTAACAACTTTGAGGAAGCATTCGATGGAAAATATGCGTATCAGTAAAAAACTCAAATTGAAACATTATTATGAAGGGTACGACAAGAAACTCTCAAAAAATTCGATGGGTATGAATGTGCGTCATGAATCCTCAAAAGAAAACAACTGACAGGAAGACATCCATTGGAAACTGTGTGTATGATAAAAGCCAAAATCAAAACAAATGAAACAAAAGTTTTTATTTTAAATTCTCTGGATGATGAAAGCTTAAATGCAAACAAATGACATGAGGGGTCCGGTCGGAAAATCTAAGGATGATAAAAACGGAGAGGCAAACAATTCACATGAGGAGTCCGGTCGGAAATTCTTAGGATTAAAAAACCTTAAATGCCATCAATTGAAATAAGGGGTCCGATCGGAAATTCTCTGGATGATAAATACTTAAATGCAAACAATTGACATGAGGGGTCCGATCGGAAATTCTCTGGATGATAAAAACTTAAACGCAAACAACTGACATGATGGGTCCAGTCGGAAATTTCTCTGTTGATGAAAAACTTCAAATCGAAAGAATTGACACGACGGCATCTGTCGGATTTTCTCTGTGTGAGACAACCGCAATTCCAAACGATTGACACGTTGGCATCGATCGGATTTTCGCTGGGTGAGACAACCTCAGTTCCAAAAGATGAAACGACGGCATCGATCGGATTTTCTCTGGGTGAGACTACTTCAGATCCAAACGATTGACACGGCGGCATCGATTGGATCTTGTCTGGATGTGTTAACCTCATTTCAAAAAGGATTGACATGACGGCATCGATCGGATTCTGTCGGTGTGAGACAACCTCAGTTCCAAACGATTGACACAACAGTATTAATCGGATTTTCTCTGGGCAAGACGACTTCAGATCAAAAAGATTGGCACGACGGCATCGATTGGATTTTCTCTGGGTGAGACAACCTCAGTTCCAAACGGTTGACACGACGGCATCGATCGGATTTTCTCTGGGTGTGATGACTTCAGATCCAAACGATGGACACGACAGCATCGATCGGATTTTCTCTGGGTGAGACGACTTGAGATCCAAAAGACTGACACGACGGCATCGATCGGACAGTGTCTGGACGATTCTAGCTCAGTTCAAAAAGGATTGACACGATGGCATTGGTCGGATTTTCTCTGTGTGCGACAACCTCAGTTCCAAACAATTGACATGACGGCATCGATTGGTTTTTCGCTGGGTGAGACAACCTCAGTTCCAAACGATTGACACGACGGAATCGATCGGAATTTCTCTGGGTTATACGACTTCATATCCAAAAGATTGGCCCGACGGCATCGATCGGACCTTGTCTGGATGTGTTAACCTCAGTTCAAAACGGATTGACACGACGGCATCGATCAGATTTTCTCTGGATGTGACGAACTCAGTTCTAAACGATTGACTCGATGGCATCGACTTGATTTTCCCTCGGTGAGACGACCTCAGACGAAACGATTGACACGACAGCATCGATCGGATTTTCTCAGGGTGAGACAACCTCAGATCCAAACCATTGACACGATTGCATCGATCGGATTTTCTCTGGGTGAGACGACCTCAGATCCAAACAATTGTCACCGCAGCATAGATTGCAGTTTCTCTGTGTGAGACGACTTCAGATCCAAAAGATTGACTCGACGGCATCGATCGGACTTTCTCTGGATGTTACAACCTCCGTTCCAAACGATTGACACGACGGAATCGATCGGACTTTCTCTGGGTGAGAGAACGTCAGATCCAAACCATTGACATGACGGCATCGATCGGATTTTTTCTGCATGTGTCAACCTCAGTTCAAATAGGACTGACACGACGGTATCGATCGGATTTTCTCTGGGTGAGAAAACCTCAGTTCCAAACGATTGAAATGACGTCATCGATCGGATTTTCTCTGGGTGAGACTACTTCAGATCCAAAAGATTGACACGACGGCATCGATCGGATCTTGTCTGGATGTGTCAACCTCAGTTCAATAAGGATTGACACGACGTTATCGATCGGATGTTCTCTGTGTGAGACAACCTCTGTTCCAAACGATTGACACGACGGCATCGACTGGATTTTCTCTCGGTGTGACGAACTTAGACGAAACTATTGACACGACAGCATCGAACGGATATTCTCAGGGTGAGACAACCTCCGTTCCAAACGATTGACACAACCGAATCGATCGGACATTCTCTGGGCCAGACGGCCTCAAATCCAAACGATTAATACGACGGCATTGATCGGATTTTCTCTGAATGTGACAACTTCAGTCCAAAACGATTGACACGACGGAATCGATCGGACTTTCTCTGGGTGAGACGGCCTCAGATCCAAACGATTAATATGACGTCATCGATCAGATTTTCTCTAGGTGAGACAACCTTACATCCAAACCACTGCCACGACGGCATCGATCGGATTTTCTCTGGGTGAGACAACCTCAGATCCAAACCATTACACGACGGCATCGATCGGATTTTGTTTGGATGTGTCAACCTCAGTTCAAATAGAATTGACACGACGGCATCTATCTGATTTTCTCTGGATGAGACAACCTCAGATCCAAACGATTGACACGACTGCATCCATCGGATTTTCTCTGGGTGAGACTACCTCAGTTCCATACGATTGACACGACGGCATCGATCAAATTGTCTCTGAGTGAGAGAACGTCAGTTCTAAAAGATTGACACGCGAGCATCGATCGGATTTTCTCTGTGTGAGACAACCCCAGATTTAAACGATTGACACTACGGCATCGATCGGATTTTCTCTGGGTGAGACAACCACAAATATAAACGATTGACACGACGACATCGATCGGATTTTCTCTGTCTGAGACAACCTCAGTTCTAAACGATTGACACGAGAGCATCAGTCGTATTTTGTCTGGGTGAGACGATCTCAGATCCAAACTATTGACACGACGGCATCGATCTGATTTTCTCTTGGTGAGACAACCTCAGATCTAAACCATTGTGTCGACGGCATCGATCGGATTTTCACTGGGTAAGACAACCTCAGATCCAAATCATTGTCACGACGGCATCGATCGGATTTTCTCTGTGTGTGACGACTTCAGAACCAAACGACTGACACTGCGGCATCGATCGGATTTTCTCTTGGCGAGCCAACCTCAGATCCAAAAGATTTACAATACGGCATCGTTCGGATTTTGTCTGGATGAAACAACCTCACATACAACCGATTGACACGTCGCTAAAACCACAAATCCTAACAAATGACACGAATGCTTCCTTCCGAAATTCTCTCTTAGGAAAACTCAAATTCATCATCTGACACGAAGGCTTCCATTGGAATTTCACTAGAAGTTAAAAGTAACATTTAACAGACACAGAGGCTGCAATCGGAAATTCTCTTGATGATGAAATGTCAAATATAAACAATTCTCTGGAAGTCTTCCACTGGAAATACTCTGGATTATAAGCCCCAAGTACAAACAACTGACTGAAAGAGAAGGTTTTGATCGAAAATTCTCTTTATGATCAAGCCAAAAATTCAAATAATTGCACGAAGGCTTCGATCGAAAATTGTTTGGATGAAAAAAATAACCCTCAATCCCAAACAACTCAGATGAAGATTTCGATCGGAAATACGATGGATGAAAAATTATCAAATCCAAACACGAAGCCTTCCATCGGAAATTTTCTGGATGATAAATCCTCAAATCCAAACAATTGAGGTGAATGATTCTATCAGAATTTCTCTGGATGATGAAACATCAAAGCCTTAACTATAGACCCGAAATATAGACACGAAATCGAAACAAATGAAAAGAAGGCTTCGTTCGAAAATTCTCTGAGTGATAAAACCTCAAATGCAAATAACTGACGCTAATGCTTCAATCGGAAATTCTTTGAATGATAAAACATCAAATCCCAAAAAAAAAGACCCGAAGGCATCGATCTGAAATTATCTGGAAATTAAGTAAAAAATTAACGACATTTAGCTTAATTTAATAAGCACACATTAATTTATCAGTGCGACAATAATCATTTAGACATGTATAATCCAGTTAGATTTCGTTAAAATCCCGTCACACAAATATAGACGAAAAAAAATTGTAAAAGTTAAAAGTTTCTTAGAGCAAAGAAAGGCAGGAAGATGTGGAGGGATGTGATCGACTAATTTTGAAGGAAAACGTCATATAAAGGAAAATAACCTTTCTTAATGCCTTCTCTTATTCTCATTTGCTAAGTTAAGCTTCTTTGGAAGCCAGTGAGTCAAGCCAATTATCTTGGAAACCATTAACTGACTCTGAGGCGGCGACCGCAGTATCATATTTTCTGTAACCTTCTCAATGAATTCCATTGTGCTTATGCGTCTCGTACAAGTGTACGAGACGCATAAGATCCAACTTAATGCATATAGTGACACTAATCACAGACCATTTACTAAGACTAATCCAGTTAACAAAAATATTTACAGGACAACTTACAGCTTTTTTCAACTGTGTTTATATATATGTATGCGTGTGTGTCTCGGTGCAACTGTAGCTGATTTTTACTGGGTTTTTGTTGAATATTTTGTGTAGGGTGCTTGATTCCGGGAAGTGTTTGTGTAAGAGTTTACAAAAATATTCAACAAAAATACAGTAAAAATCAGCTACAGTTGCACTGAGAACATGGCACAAATAATAAAAAAGCACAACAGGAAAATTATCAACAAACCATACGAACTACGTGCAACTGCAGAATAAAGGACGAATGTCTCTTAAACGGAAGTTGTTTACAAAGCAACGTAATATACCAAGCCACTATAAAATCACCAGATAACGAAGAAAAAGTATACATAGGAGTAACTGAAGGACCCTGGAAACAAAGAAATTATACGCACAAACATCTTTCACAAATAGTAAATATGCGAAGAGTACAATGTTTTCTAAGTATATCTGGGAAATTAAAAACAAAACGCACATCACACCAAAAATAAAAGATCATCAGCCTACAACAACCAATCAAAAACTTATAAACTTTGCTTGGAGGAAAAAATAGCTATCATTACTTTCCCAGACCAAAATAAATTATTAAATAAAAGATCCGAGCTCATCTCAAAATTCAGACATGAAAACAAATTTTTACTAAGTTACTTAAAAATCGAAAACGGAAAAATATATAAATAAATGAATAAATAAACAAAATAACAATAAAATAAGCAAAATTAATTAACCCAAACTAATTACTAAATAACATCTGTTAGAATAGACGAAATATAATAATAATAATAAAAACCAACGAACCCAAATAAATAAAGTAGATAATAAACAAATTAGCAAACCATTATGACCAAAATATTAGTTAGACTATAAAAATCAAACCAAAAAATCGGAGAAAAAAATAGCTATAACTGTTATATAACGATAAAAAAAATACTACGTTACTTAAAAATCGAAAACCGAAAAGAGAAAATACAAATAAATAATAACAAGTAAAATAAATTGACCTAAATTCACCCAAATAAATAAATAAACCAATCTCTATAAACTAACCGTTAGAAAAACAAATAAAGATAATCAATCCAAATAAATACAAATTAAAAACTGTTCCCGCCAAAATAATAGTTAGAATAAACTACAACAATCAACCCCAAAATTGAATAAATAGCTTTAAGTTCTCAAACCAAACGAAACTATTAAATAAGCGATATAAACAAATTTTTACTACGTTAATAAAAAAACACCGATTAAAAAATAAATCAATAAATATATAAGATAAGAAATAAAAAAATAAAAAATAAAAATAAATAAAAACAAGCAAAATAATTTAACCAAATAAATAAATAAACAAATAAACGACTTCGGGTAAAATAACCGACAAAAATAGAATAGTACAATAGAAATACCAATATTCGCCAATAAACTAAATAGGGGAAAAGTCACTTAATTATACAGAAATGGATAGAAAAATAAAGAAAGCGAGGTAAACGGACGTCAGAGAAACGTCAGCCTTCTCATTTAGTTTCATCCACAGACTTATATGCGTACACACACACTAACTCTCTCTCTCACACGCACATATAAATATATAGTGTGTGTGTGCATGTGTAGATAGATATATAGATATCCATATCCACACACTTACATGCATTTATACATACAAACTCATTCTCTCTCTCTCTCTCACACACACGCACACACATTTTCTCTCACACTCACACACACACTAACTCTCTCACACTCATACACGCACATATGTATATAGTGTGTGTGCATGTGTAGATAGATAGATAGATAGTTAGATAAAAAAAACATTTCACAAATCATTCACGGTTATCATCTACACATGACTCCTTAATTGGCTAAACACTAAATGTCTCGTTTTTCTTCACACTTAATTTTGCATACACTCTATTTCTGATATTCAGCCTATATAGTTTTATGGTATGCTTTATATAGTAGATAGAGCATGGTATATATAAATATATATATATATATATATATATATATATATATATATATATAT